GTGCGCATCGGCACGCGAACGTACGGCGATCGTTCATCCCAACGACTGATCGCGGCATATATTCGCGCGACGCGCGACATTAATCTCACGACTGGCGATTAGACGGTTTGCGCTCGTAGCGCGTTCTCACGTTCGAATAATTCCTTGAGCGTTTACGTGCCTCTCCGCGAACTTTATCAGCGGTGAAAGCGTAAATTCGCTCTGAGACACACTCATCGCGAGACAGAACGCGCCAATTTCCAGCCATTCACGGCGTGATACGCGCCATGGAAGAGACCGCGGCGGTCTGCGCGCAGCGACGGCACGCCAAGCATTTATTCTTCACGGTGTCTGCGGCGTAATAAAGCGTCACGCTAGAACGTAAACGCGAGTGCGCCGATCCGGAAAACCTCTCTCCACTTCACTCCGCATCGCGGCGCGTCGCGTCGCGTCGCGTCGCGACACAGAAAGAAAGTAGGCACGAAAAGGGAGGCGCATGCCCTCGCAACCGCGGCTCGCAGCCGCGTGTATGTACGCGTGGAAAATTGAAAATACTTTGCATAGTCGCGACGCGGGGGTGTTCGCCGAGCGCGTTAATCTCGAGACGCAGCGGTATGCGAACTCTCGCTCGGAGACCTCAGCCCTGAAGAGGGAAACTCTCGCGCGGCGCGAGCACCATGTCGACAGGGAACCCCCCGATAAGGGTCCGCGCGCGAGGAACGAAGCTTTGGCGGACATGAAACTGCAACGAAACTGCAACGAAACTGCACAAAAGACCGCTCGAGAGAGTTTCGACCTTTCTCCAGACGAAATACTCCAATACGGAGCTTCGTCTTGTCTTCGTGAAGCTGCTCCGCGCATTGCGAGTCGATGTCGCGCGAGATTATACGGCAACGTCGTAGAAAGGAGCCCTCGAGGAAGAAAGACTGGTCGAATTAACGTGACAATGAACAGACCAAACTCCCCTCGGCTCAGGGAAATAGAAGCCTTCTCAGGCTGCGTTTGATTTGTGGACGAGTCAGCAAAGTGTATTGAATTTTTCTTCGACTTACCGATGTGTTCAGCGCGTTCGAGCGTCTCTTTCACGTCGTTAGTCCGATGAATTTGAGTTCCCTCTTATGAATTCGAAAGTGGAAATTTAGCGCTCGATCGCGGTAGGAATGTGAAAGAATTGACGGTTACGATTGAAATTGGGACATTCCGCGCGGAGATTAGAGGGATGTTAATTACAAGACGTACATCGGATACGAGACGGGCTATCGACTCGACGGTCCACGAGTAAATTTCAGGCGTGCGATCATATTGGGAGATTAACTTGGCAACATCAACTATGTTACCTCGCGGAATGCGTGGAATCATGCGGGGGGACGATAAATTCTAAATTACACGGGGCATGTTATACGAGATGCTTACCGGCGGAATAATAGAGCTCGGCGTTTTATTTACCGGCCGTAACAGCGACTATTTTACGTGGGACGAATTTATCAGCATAAATCAGGCCGAAAAGCGGCGGACGCGGCTCGAAATGAAGTAATAACGAACCTATGTCGGCTTTTTGTTTGACAAATTGCACGTTCTTCCGGCGGTTGCGTTATCGCGACGATGTTGACACGGTGCCTCGCGTAATGTTGTGTGTGAAGCGGTATTATTATTATTACCGAAACCTCACACATATCAAGGGACTCGCGTAATACAGCGTTCTGTATACGCTTGTAATGATAGCATTGATAGTTGGAACGAGAGATAAGCTCGAGTCTAGCCGGAGGAACAGACACGCTTCCGCGCGCGCGCGCGCGCGCAGCCTTGTTGCGGCGAGTACGCTCGGTTATCTCGACACAGATTTCCAAAATAGTCGTAATTATCACGTCCTCGAGAAACATGCTCGTCTGACGGAAGAACATGGTGGATGCGAACATGGACGGACGCCTTGTGTTCCAGCGCGACTGGCCCGATAGCAATACCGGCTCGTTGATAGCGCTTTATACACGGAAGCAGAAGTTAAAGTGTGCGCGATCGCCTCGGCTTGTGTTGCGACGCTACCGAGCGAACAATGCGACAGTGTTGAGGAAAGCGTGCTGCGCTTCATCACTCTCGGCGCGCAATAAGCCGACTATAAATACCGAGTTTACGCTCGCAGTAATGGATAAAGTTAATAATATTCAGCTAATGCCAGCAATCATCTCTCCCTCGGATTTTTTAAATTATTATTATTATTATTATTATTATTATACGCAACGGGTATATATCGACGTTGACGATTCAACGGGAATCGCTCTTGATCATTTTGCCAAAAACGACGAAACGATCTTGCTCGTATGCTCTGCGCTCTTCGGTTTCGCGACGTATGCGCGATCGATCAGTATGTCCGGCGAATCTCTGCTTTTACTACTTGCTCCGGAACATCGTGCCTTCGTCGTTGCCTTGGAATATTGCTATTTGAATTCGCTGTGTGTGTGTGTGTGTGTGTGTGTGTTTGCGGTAGAGCACAAAAGTTACAAAAATATCAAGAATACCGATAATTTAACGTTTTAATTTCGTCAAAGAAATTCTGGAAAAAAAAGAAAAAAGAGTATAATTTTAAGAGAAAGGAGTAAAAAAACTCCAGGAAAAAAATTAGTTCTATTTTCAATCACGAAACTTGTGATATAAATGTGTTTACACGTTACTCACTTAAACGCTAGCGAGAAAATCGCTCACGCGATGGCGCAAACAAAACAAGTGATAACAATATCGAGTAGTAACATGAACCGTATATATTGAACGGTAACTGAAATTAAAATGATTTTTTACATTCCTCTTTTATTTCCCTTCAAGCTATGTATGTGTTTTAGAAAAATCTACACACGCACATATCGTCCTATCTGCAGTATTATTAAAACGTTGATATTATTAAAACGTCAATTAAAGTTAGTATTCATCGTATTTGCTCTTAGATATGACGAGGATCTCGAAGTCCGGGTGGGGGAGGTGGGGGGGGGAATGTCATGGATCCTCGATTGCGCGCGATTGGAGACAAAAACGACGGGAAGCCGGCTCAACGCGCTCCATTACGACCCCAACAACGTATCTCACCCACTCGCGCGCATTGACCTACCTCAACCGGAGGCTGCACCATTGAGATGTTGCTCAGCTGCAGTCGCGTCCCTCGAAGGGCCGTGTTACGTCACCGCTCGCAGTGGTGGCCGTATAGTTGGCACGCGGCTTCGCCCTACGCAGACATCCGCGTCTGATTTATGCGCCTTCCGGCGTTCAAGCGGATGGCGTATCGTAGGCATTGGCGCCGACAGGATATATCTTTTCTACGGAACCGTAAGAGATCAATACGATTAGTGAAATGGAAATTATATCGAGAACAAATGGAAAGATTATACATATCACATGTCGAGAATATACTACCTAAACTGAGGAAACCGCGCTTCATTTGGTACATGTACGAAACATGTAATTCGTCGATAATTGTGACAATATTGTATTACAAGCTTGAGCATTTGTTTGAATTTAAGTATTAGTTATCGCGAGTGTGTATTATCGCATCGCCAGAGAGTATATTGCCCAAAGCTAAAACTGTTTGCCGAGTTGATTTTTCTTCATTTATATCGGATTTAGTGCACGTGACAGAATGCAACTCACCGCTGGTGAATGCAGCGAATATTTCAAAATTTACTTCTGTTGCGCTTTCGTATTTGTGCGCGCCGAGTCCCTCGAATGTAAATCGCAAATATCGAAGAAACGATAAACTGCTTCACCAAGCAAATTATGTGTAAATTTGGATAAATGGCGATGCAAATGGTGATGAATTTTGCATGGTCTGCGCAAAGGCTGCGAACCACAAGGAGATTGCAGGGAAGACACGCAAACATATTTTTGAGGACTGGAATAATCGTATCGGCCGTTAAACATTTGCTGGTCCACGAATTCAGGCACAATAATCACAATCGTAGGTAATTTCGCAGGTATACAACCGCTAAGTTTCCCATGTTACGCCAGGTCCTAAACTTTGAACTGTGAACTCTCAACTCTTGACCCTCAAACTTCAGTTTTCAGTCTTCGCCTCTCGGTTCCCAACCTGCATTAACCTGCAATCCTCGACTTCCGAGTGTCAACTCTTGCCGATGCGGCTCTACGGCCATGAATACGACTGGAAATTAAGTTTCGCGCGGCTCGTTTGCGGAGGATTCGCCGCGTTGATGAGTTAAATCGACGACGTCGGGGCTGTGCAAGACCGGAACGCGGCTCGCTCGGAGAGCCTTCGCACGCTGACCGGAAAAAGCCGGCGCAGCGTCGCGCGGAAGCTCAGGCCTAGGCTAAGTTTCTCCCTCGTATCAATGGTACGTACACAGAAGGGGTAGGCGTGGCACTCTGCGTTGGATGCTCGCGTGTGCACCGAACGCGAAGGGCTGAGAGACGGGGTCTTGCGCGTGAGAGGGTGGATACGTGCGTGCGAGACACCGTGCGAACAACGGGGAGAGACGAGCGGACGAGGACGCAATGATTTCGCGAGATGAAAGGGAGTGGACGACGCGTATGGGGCTGACGAGGACGGTGAAATGAAGAAGAAACGAACGAGCGAGAGAGAAAGAGGAGGACAGAGGGGGCCGGGCGGGATGCGACGGATGAAGCGAGAGAAAGAGGGAAAGAGGGAAAGAGGGGGGGGGAGAGAGAGAGAGAGAGGGGGAGTAAATAGGGTTGAACACGCGGAGGTGAAATAGCGGACAGAGGGAAGCTGCGAGAGAGGAGGAACGTTGCGCCTTATCCGGCTGGTGCGAATGAGAGAGATGGACAGCGTGTACCATGAAGAGAGCAGAGTCTCGCAAGAGTGAGCCAGAGCATGAACAAGGGTGGGGAAGGGGAGAGAGGGAGAGAGAGCGTGAGAGGTTGCGAGGGAGGGTGGATGAGAGAGAGAGAGAGAGAGAGAGAGAGAGGAGAGTGAGAGGGCGCGAGAGGGAGAGCGAGAGTCAGATAGAGGAAGACAGAAATACAGGGCGCGAGACCGCGCGACGCTTTCAGTCACCGCCCGATCCTCGGCGCGCACGGTTTCGGAGTGGGTGTTTCTCTGTCGCGGGCTAAAATCGCCGATTGCAATCGAGGTCTCGCTGGAAGTACGAAGGGCGCGCGCATTCGGGTGCGTACACGCGCTGACCGCGACGACTGCGGAGTGAAACGATCGTGGTCGGCGAGGTCGGCGGCGACCGGGGAGACCGATGAGAGCCGATCCTTCGTGTAGCTTGCTATACCGCGTGATCGGTACTACCACGTCGCCGAGGCACTATTGACGTGAAAGTCAAGCCTTCGAAGGATGCGACGGAAGCCGTCGACGGAGGAAACCGACGACGGAACTGCTGCGACCGGTCGTGAGCGTGAGCGAACTGCACGAGCGAGCGTTTCATTGAAAACGCCGAGACAAAAACGGAGAATGTGATGAGAGCCGATCGAACGAGAATGTGAACGGAGGAAATTGTCGGCGCGAAAGTTCCGCGAAACTTTACGACGACGGTCGTGCCCCTGCTCGCGGCGGTGTTTTCGATCGGCACGACACGTGCCGATTCGTCGTCGGGGAGCCCGAATCGATCGTGCGGTATTTGCGGCAGACGCTGTGTCAATGACGCAAGACTGAGCCCGAGATCGTCGCGCGAGAGTGTGTGCCCGAGAGAGCATCGTGTGTGCCGCGAACTTTCTCTCTCCGAATAGTGCTCCGAACTGAAATTCGGAAATCTTTCGCAGCCGCAGGCACAATGTGAACTCATGAACGAACGAACGAATCCTTCGTCGAGCTTCGTCCACGGACTCGTCGCGATCACGTGAGAGACTCCGAGCACCCCTGTCAGCCTGAGTGGAGTTAGGTGAGCGGAATTTCAAAGCGCTCTCGCGCGCCGCAATGTCAGCGAGCGACTCTTTTAACTGTTTGCGCGTGCCGGGAAAGGGAATCTCGCAGGAATGCGCGACGGAGCTGCCGTTGCGTTGCTGCGCTCCGCGCAACCGACTTTTTCGCGAGAACAGCCGACAGCGACGTTCTCGCAAACGTCGAATGTCAATTACGTAACTACGTCGAATCGTGAGACACGAGACAGGAGGAGAATGCTGGAAATCTCGCAGTATGAAGTTATGGGGAGGAGCGCGACAGTGCACATTGGCATTTTTCGTGGCGAACTGTGCCGGCTCCAGACGATACGGCAAAAATGGGCCAATACGAAGACGACCGAAAGTTGTCGAGAAATAATTAAGAGAGACTCGTACACGTGATATGGCCGGTGCCGCATTGGAGAATGTTGGCGATTACGCGATTGCCACATCCTCTGGAGCCAGGCATTAAAATGAGGAAGCACCGGCGAATTTCTTGGCACACAAACGGCTGAGAGAACACGGTGGGAGTGGTGTGACAAGCGTATTTTTCTGGTGTATTGTATTATTCTTCCAATGTATCTTTATACGCTCGAATGTTGACACAGGTAAGGGTGTGTCATGATGAATGGCTTTACGGCGTAGCGCGAAATTCGTACTTCTTTCTCGAGCGACTGTTACGTATCGACTTGTGAAATTGATTTTCTCTGAAACGATACATTTGTCTTTAAAAAAAGAAAAAAAGAGAGGGAGATAGAGTGAATATATTGGAACACGTACAATAATTCTTGAGGAAGACGGAATGAAGCGTGGAGAGTTTCTTTTTTTTTTTCGGATTGCGAGGCTGTTAATAAAATGACACAGATGACTCTCGACCGCGTAATTTTAGTTTGGACTTTTCACCCGAGAGAATATAATCTTGACGTAAAATTTAGCTACACGGGATTGTTTAATTTTGAACGTCAAAGTATCTCTCGCGGAAAGGGGAGAGGAGAGAGATGATTTCTCGACTAATCTCTCTGTATCAAGAAAGAATCGGCTGTAAATCAGAGGATTTCCACTGAGTGCGACGTTGGCACATTTTTCGGGGCGTACGTCATGACCGGCAAAAAGCGGAACGTACAAACACGTATTTGTGTCTTGAAATGTAATATCTTGAAATTTGGACGATATCTCGCCTTTGTGTGAAATATCTCTGTAGATTTTCACATATACAGCGTTACATTCGCGCGATCGGTAAGACAATGTTAATGCGCACACCACTCCTGTCCCCAAACTCTGCAATAACATTTAATTAACCCTTTGAATTCGCGAATAATGCTCTCGCTCTCGGGTTTATATTAATGTTATAACACATCGACAATTGATAATATTACAATTATTATATTACCGTTACAATTATAAACTAACAAAGGGAAACTGCAAACGGACTATATTAATTAAAAAGTTATCCATATCTGTCAATCGCCGGCTGAAGTGACGAAGCCTTCATAACAATATCTAAAGGAAATAATCGATATGTTATAATGTAATATGCGCAGAGTCAAATTTTGAATCGTGTAATTTAATTTGGCAATACTTTCTCGAGAGATGCAGACACCCACGGCAAGAACTTAGTCGATGTACGCCTGTGACAATGTAAACGCGAAAATCGGCGTGTACAATATATGTATCTTCTGTATTAGCTTTATCGAAGACGGGACAACTTGAATTGCTTATTTTGCAGATCTTTCTTTTTCGAAAATAAACGTGATACACACAAAAGTGTAACAAAATTCATTGGGGATCAAGAGACGAAAGATCACGAAGATTTCTGATTCTGATCTTTAACTCTTTAAATTTTTCTCTAATTTTTAATTATTTATTTAATTAATTATTTAATTATTTATTTTCCTCGTAGAGTCAGTTTCCCAATCTTTCTATTCTTTAACTCGCAATTTTTCGGCATGTCAACCCGCGAACTGTCTAGTTAGAAAAAAAGGATAATTTAGAAAAAAAATGTCATCTCCAAGATTGCTTGTTTGTAACGTCACGTCACGAGATTCGCGCCTCGTTTCTCGCGTCAGGATGGATTGACAGTGACGTCGACGCAGTTTAAAATTCTCCAGAAGTCATTACGCTCCCGAGCGGCCACGGGCGCTGTAAAATAATAACCGCCGACGCGCTGAAAGAGATCGCGCGCGGCCGTAGTCTGCGGCCGTAGTGTTGTCGGGGACGGATTATATCCGGCGTTGCGTTTCCGCGTTTCTGACATTTAAACGGAGGCCGAGCGAGATAAATAAACGTACGCGGGCGAGCGGACGGACGAGCAAACGGAACCGGCCGAGAAACCGGGTTGCCCCGAAGGTGGTGACTGACCGAGCGACCCACCGCGACCGATCGAAGGAGAGAAAATGCTATTTCGCTAATGGAAGGTCGGATCCGCAAATCGGCGGTACCGAGCAGCGCTCGCTTCTTTGTCTTTTGGGCCCCGTACTCCGGCTTTTCAATTTAAAACGACTTTTAGCGGCGGGGCGGCGGGCGGAAGAGCGGATCGGGGATGTGCGAGTAAGGGCGGGAGCGAGGAGTGTTGCTCTCTTTTCTCTCTCTCTCTTTCTCTCTTTCTCTCTCTCTCTCTCTCTCCCTCTCCCTCTCTCTCCCCTCTCTTTTTCTTTCGATCGATATCGAGCGAGGCGAAATGGCAGCGGTAAATTGGAATTATTACCGATAACGACGTTGTCAGAGCCAGTCGTGGTTCGCGCGTCTTTGGAAGTCATTCCGCGTAATTCGAGTATAACTTTTGCCGAGCACGGATCTCGCGTAGCGATGTGAACGATCGGGGTTTGGGGTGGCAGGTGCTCACGGAGCGGGGAAGGAAAAGGGCGATGTCAAAACCAGTTTTTCTCAGTTCGGCAAAGTGATTGTCGTGAGCCGCGAGCGATTAACTCTACGGGACCACCGCAGTGGTAATGTAAATCTTCATCCGCTGCGGGGAGAAAAAAGGTGCCAGATGTCAAAATTGCGCAAATTTTACTGCAACAAACTGCAGTCGAGTGAAATTAGGTCAAAATCAAGTGAGAGCCTTCAATTTAATGCGAGTTCTTCGCGCAACTGATGTTTTTTATAGTGCGTACACATACGATGAAGCATATTTTTACAACGAAATGCGTTATAATGGCGGAGCGCGAAAATCGAGGAAATGGACTTTCCGTTGTTAGATGTTTTTTTCACACTGGGGATAAAAGGATCCAACTCTCGCGATGCGTGTGTGACCAATTTCTAATTAATCGTTCAAGCTGATCCAGCGAAAGTTTGAGGGAGGGAAAGTCGGACGTCGGCAGCGCCGAGGGCAAACTCGTAAATCCTGTATCATTATTACGACATTCGTTAGGAACTTCCGGCTCTGTCTTTGACGTCGTCGAGTTGCCGCGCGTTCTCCCAGTTTCGCCATATCGCGCGGTTGATTCAGTGCACCGATCGTGCAGTTTCGCCGTTATGACAGCCATAACGTCGCTTATTGCGAAAAGTTATGGCTCTGCCGGTGCTCGACTGAAGATGCACACGTAGCGCGCAGCGAGGGCGGGGGAGGGGGGAGGGGAGTTTTCCTCAATTCTGATTAACGCGCGTTAGTACGGGAGTATACGCCCGTGAAATAATTATGACTGATGACAGACGCGCCGGCGCGCAAATCGCGGAGATAGATCAAACCTAGTCAAAGACACTGCAATGTTAAGTCGCAGTTAATCCCGTCGATTTTCGACCCGCAAAGTTCGTTCGTCTGACGACGCGCTTATAAGATTATCAGCGGAAACGGATATAGAGTTGTACATCGGCATATTAATTAATCTTGTCATCGGTTTATGTGATGAAGAACATTGTTGTTTGCTCGCAATCCCGGAAATAAAACATTAAAAATTTCTTAAATAAATCATCAGAACTATCGAAGTCAATATTTCAAGCGAATATCGTGACGCTTCTTCCCTGGGTATGAAATATTTTACACGGTACAGTGTCGTGCCGATTTTAACGAAACAGAATCGTGTAATAAAATTTTACTGCCCGTTTTGATTTGAGCGAGAGGGGGAGAGAGAGAGAGAGAGAGAGAGAGAGAGAGAGAGAGAGAGAGAGAGGAGGGAGGGCGGAGATTACTATTTTTTTGGAATTGTAGCTGGAGATTGATATTTTCGATGAGGCATTTTCGATTTAATACAGAATACCACAAAATTTCAAGAAACAACACATCGCAGAAATTTCCCCCGAGATCCCCGCGATGAAAAAGTCAATTTCAAGTTTATCAAACGGTTATTCAAATTTAGGGAGATGCGCATGCATATATGGAACTCCGATACATAAGTACACAGGCACAAACGACGCGGAAGCAGAGGGTTAATTTGTACGTTTATTCCCTCGGCACGTCCCAGTCGTTGCATTTCAGTAAGATTATTAATACTGCTATCGCGACAGATGGCGCGGCAAATATCTCGACGTTGGATTCGTTACTTTAGTTAATGAGAATATCTGCTCGCCGGTGGCTTATGCCTCGACGCTATAACGGCGCGTAATGGGATCTACTCTTTAATTAAGTAAAATTAGCGTCACTGAACGCCCGCGTAAATTATTGATACGCCAGAGAGAGCCCGCGCAAACGCTGTCCATCGATGCGTTCTCATTCGTTTAACGCCTCCTCTCGCTTTAATGCTACACCGAGAAGAACTTAATTACGTAGTTGTAACGAGGAAAGTCTAACGTCTGTTAGTATCGTCGGGTAAAAACTTACAACTCGAGTTGGGAGGGGGAGAGAGAGAGAGAGAGAGAGAGAGAGAAGAGCGGAGTGGCAAATCGGTCGCTTCATGCTTGCTTTAATTTAACTTCTAATTGATTGTTCACGATTAAAATGCCTCTGCATCTTGGAAATGCTGGATTTACCGAATGTAGGGCAGTGGATGTGCACGCTGTTTTTCTTCATTTCTCTCTGAATAGAGATCGCGTTGTGTACAATGAAAGTGAAAGATTCGCATTTCAT